TTTTAATAACTTAAAGTTAATTACAGAAATTAAAAAATAATACTTTGATATGAATGAGAGGAATGAGAAATTGTCTATTATTCAGTGGAACTCAATCTGGAAGGAAGGACTACTACAGATAAATGTGATAGAAAATTTTTAGCTGGTGTAACTTCATTGATTTCAACACATAACAGTAAGCTAAATGTAGTTTCTTGTTATTTACACTGTGTGATACAAATCACACTCTTTTTCTACATCAGAACTATACCGAAAGCGCACATTTTCATATTTTTTCGGGTTTTTTTCCCTCTTTGACTCAAGATCTTACTTTCTGTAAGTTCGGATTTGCGTTTATGTATTTTGGAAAACCTCTAGTTCTCCAAGTAGTTGATTTTAATTTTTCTACAATCATTCCCATTACCGTGTCAGTTCAGAAAAGAAAAGTCTAACCTAATACTTCTTTTAGCAAGCTATTCCAGCAAGCAGATGGGCAAAAGGTGCAAACTGGGGCTTTATCCCTTCCTTATATCCTCAATTCATTTTCAGCCTTCCTGAGAACTAGAGAGGTCAAACACTTGATGCCTAAGCCTACGACAATTCAGTTTACAAAATGTCACAGAAGTTGTAAATCTTCATTTCTGGTATCCTGTTATGTAAGGTTATCCATGGCTGGAGCAGTCTGTTACAGCTTCATTTAGTCAAAGAAGGGTTATACTCTAGTCTAGTCTAGTGAGATAGGACTATCTACATTAACTTTGTGTCAGTCTCTACAGAGTTTTGCCTATTTTTGCTGGGACTTCAGCCAAATTGTCATCACTTTTCCCTTTTCTTCTGTTTTCTCATGAAAATGAGAAAATTTTTTCAGATGTTCTAAAACATTTATCTGAATTTATAAATGTGTGCAAGAGTCTCTTTGATAAGGGGAAAAATGCTGTTATGCACTGTAGAAGACCCATTTCAGAAAGATAAGTTAATTTACAACTTTGGAAATTTGATCTTTCCCATTTATCTATGTGTGCACACAGGTGCAATACAGAAGGATCTGCTAGTTAAAACTGACAAAACCACAGAAAAACTATTTTGTTTGCTTTCTATCTTTAAAAATATATGTATGTTCTTAATATTTGGAATCAGACATTTCCAACTTGTGTATTTTCCAGTACAAAGACACAGAATGCTGTCATGAGCACAGAAGTTATATGTTCTAGATAATCAAGTATAAAAATAGTGTAACAGTCACCTTTTTGGCATCCTGCACCCAGTTGACTGGTTTTGTCATACAGCACTCCATGTTAACCATAATATGCCTTCTGTAAAATACTAATCCCAGGTGTGATATTTGCAAGGTGAAATGCAGCAGCCTAAACCTACCCCCGTCACAATTTATTCTTGTACTTTTGAAATGTGACTGTGAGGTAAAAGTCACAAAATGACAGAATGACAGAATATTCTGAGTTGGAAGTGACCCACAAGGATCATCCAACTCTTAGCCCTGCACAGAACCATCCCCAAGAGTCACACCATGTGCCTGAGAGCATTGTCCAAACACTTCTTGAATTTTGGCAGACTTGGTGCTGGGATCACTTTCTAAGGGAGACTATTCCAGTGCCCAACCACCCTCTGGATGAAGAACCTTTTTCTAATATCTAATCGAAACCTTCTCTCACCAAGTGACCTCAACCACTTCTCATACGCCTTCCCCTCAAGGCCCTTCACCACCTTTGTTCCCTTCCTTTGGATATTCTCTGACACAACTTCAGACCATTCCCTTGGGTCTGTTACTGGTCACCACAGAGAAGAGATCAGTGCCTGTCCTTCCACTTCCTCTCATTAGGAAGTTGTGGACTGAGATGAGGTCTTCCCTCAGTCTCCTCTTCTCCAGGCCGAACACACCAAGTGACCTCAACCACTTCTCATATACCTTCCCCTCAAGGCCCTTCACCACCTTTGTTCCCTTCCTTTGGATATTCTCTAATAGCTTAATATCTTTCTTATATTGTGGTGTCCCAAACTGCTCACAATATTCAAGGTGAGGCTGCCCCAGTGCAGAGCAGAGTGAGATACTCCCCTCGACCAGCTTTGCCTGATGCCTCCCAGGACATGGTTGACCTTCCTGGCTGCCAGGGCACTGCTGACTCATATTCAATCTGTCATGACCAGGACCCCCAGGTCCTTTTCTATGGCACTGCTTTCCAGCATCTCATTCCACAGTCTATATGAACATCCAGGGTTTGCCCCATCCCATGTGCCCATCACTTCCCCTTGTTGAACTTCATACTGTTGGTGATTGCTCAGTCCTCTAATTCACTGAGATTTTTCTGCAGGGCCTCCCTGCCTTCTAGGGAGTCAACAGCTCCTCCCAATTTCATATCATCTATGAATTTACTTCTAGTCCTGGGTCCAAGTTATTCATGAAGATATTGAAGAGCTCAGGGCCTAAGATGGAGCCCTGCAGAACCCCACTAGTGACAGGTCACCAGTCTGATATTACTCCGTTCACTATTACCATCCATGCTTGACCTCTGAGCCAGTTGTTCACTCACTGCATGATGTGCATTCTGTCCAGAACAATATTGTGTGAGACACAGTATCGAAAACTTTGCTGAAATCCAAAAGGATTACATCACATGGCTTCCCTTGATCAACTGTGTGGGTTACCTTGTCATAACAGGGAATCAGGTTTGATAAGCAGGACTTTCCTCTCATGAAACTGTGCTGGCTGTGACCAATGACTGTTGTCCTTCAGGTGCTTTTCAACACTTTCCAGAATAATTGTCTCCATAACTTTATCAGGCACTGAAGTGAGACTGACAGGCCTGTGGTTTCCAGGGTCGTCCTTTTTGCTTTTTTTGAAAACTGGGATAGTGTTCACCAAATTCCAGTCAGCTGGGACCTCTCCTCTCACTTAGGGTCAAATCTATCCTATCAGAACAAAAGTATATTCCACTGGCCTTGTATTACTAAGGGAAATAAAGCCTAATATATAGACTTTTTTCTCTTCAGTAACCATTCTCTCATATTATTTTCTTTTTTGGGAGGCAAATTATGATAGCAGTGGATGCAAAACACAGCTGACCTATAACTACATATGTATTCCTTTACATCTCTGTTTGCTAGCTTCTAAACCCTAGTAGCAGTATGTCCCATGCAAGGAACTGTTTAAAGGTAACTAGAATTTTCAATCAATACTTTTGAATTTAAAATTACAATTTAAATTCTCCTTTCATCCTTGCTTTGTCAAACAGCTATAATTAGGTGCAGGTTAAAATAGAACATCCCTCAGTGTTCTACAACAGCTTCTCCTAAAAGTTTTCAAGTGAGGTATATTTGTAGGTAAGTAAATTCTCTGGGTCATGTGGACCTGGGAGTATACATGTCAGGAAAACGGATATTCCCATAACTGTAGAAATGCACAATCCACAACATGTTTATCTTATGATTATTGCAACCACACCTCTTTGCCCGTGCAATATGTTAAGTTCTGTGGGTGTTCAAAATGACTTAGTGATTGCAAAGATACAGGTGCTCATATACTTTGGGCACAGATGTCACACTGTTTATCGTTTGCAGAATGCATTTAGAAAGCTAATATTTGTGTTCTTCTTATACAGGACATACCCTGCCCCAGGAATAAAAAGGACTAAAATGAAAAAAAAGCAAACAAAAAAAACCCTCTACTGAAGATGGAATTTTTTTAAGTTATTTTTCCCAATGTGAAATGGAAGTATCAAACAATTTCCTTGGAAAAATAAAAAGAAAAATCTCAGACAACTTGCAAAACTCTGTCCTCCATTGCCTGAATTTGTAATTAATTTGCTTTTTGTGTTCAGTCTGAAACAAGGTGTTGTAGAGCCCCCCTTTCCCATCCTCCCTAACCAGCTCATTCTCCCCAAAGTCCAAGCCCCAGCTGTGCCCCAGCACCCTGTGCTCATGCCGTCCCTCTCCTTGCTGTTCCGAAGATGTCCAGGGTGGTTAGGATTTGTCAGGTCACACCTCGGCCTGTCAGGACATGGCACGTCCTTTGCCCTGCTGCAGCCCATTGCTTCATTTCATCTGCACAGAGCCTGGCGACGAGCTGGCCTTGTTAGACACGAATAACCACAGCCAGCCAAAACTAGCTGGCTATTTTCTTCCTGCTTACCTGTCACAGCCCTTAGGGTTTTGCTGAATTAGTCAATGCTGTTATTAACCCTAATCTGGGTTACAGTAAAGTAAGTGCTACATGCACACTTGTAAGTAGGTGGGTGCAGGCACATACAGGCATGGAGTCCAGCAAGAGCTTCTGGTTCTGGGCTTGAGTGGTGAGGACTAGGTTACATCCCTGGCCCTTGCCTCTCCCACCTCTCTCCTTTCTCCTCTTCCTCTCTCCACAGCACATTGATCGCTGAAACTCCTCGTCACCCAGCTCTACTCTGTTTTGAGCCTCTCCCACTGCTTTCTCAGTGTTTCCCTCATTTTCCTGGTTTGTTCTACCCCTTCCCCTCTCTTGGTCTGACACCATGTTTTCTTCATTGCTCTTCTTTTCTTCAACCTGACCCACAGTGACTGTCCCCCCCCAGCCTGCTGGCCTCCCTTTCATAATCCGCTCTCCCCTTCCACCTCTACTTCTCACATTGTCTCCCTAGCTTTTACCACCCCTCTTTTCTCCATCCCAGCCTGAATCTGGAGCAGGGACATCCACTGAAGAGGTGAGGTCTTACTCCTAGCAAGCCCTACAGCCTCAGCTGCAACCACGGCAAACACTCCTGTTGTCCTTTCTGCCTTCTGCAGGCTCCCGTCCTCATCTCATCTAGAGAGAGGAAATCTCAGGCACAGAAACATGGGATTTTTGGCCAGTCTTCTCCTGAGCCTGGGGCAAAAAAGCACCCTTCTAAACATTGCATTGAACACAATATATGCACACTTGAAAATTGACTCTCACTTTACTTTAAAATCGCCATTTCATTACAGGTTGTGCTGTCAAGCCCAACAACTAACCTACCTGTAACAGTAGTATGAGAGCAGAACCAGGACAGTAGTGGGTGCTGAAGTATTTTCTAACTAGAAGAAAGAATCTGACAGCACAATGTTGGATTGCTTATATTACTTTGATGATTTTGCAAGACATCTTTGCCTTTTGTTGGAAATGAAGCGCAAATCAGTTCTCAGGCTCTTCTTCCCTACTTTTCAGCCTTAACCCTATTTGCATCTTCTCCCCCTCCTTCCTTTTTTCTTTTCCTTTCTCCATCCCCTTTAAGTTGTAATTCAATCTCTTCCAACTCATGATCTCTTTTCTTTTTTTGGCACTCCCTCCACCCTCTCTCTCATTAGTTTAACTTGAGTTAATTAGGAATAGTAGGCAGCCCTCAATCTGTTATGTGTTAAAACAGAACAATCCAAAACAGAGGCACAGACACAGCTACGCGATTTCATTGTCTAAGGGAGACAGAAAACCAGTGGGGATTCTCTTATCTAGACTAACATCTTCCCAATGGTTAATCTAACTGGCTTTAAAATGTACCGCAAATGCAGATCTGGGATAACAATCTTTCCCTGTTTCCTTTTCTTTCCTTTTTTTTTTTTTTCATTTCATCATCGGCAAGAATGAGTGAATTGGATTGACATGGAGGTGATAGAGGAAGAGAAATAGTCTACACGTCAAAATGACAATGTATATTACATGGTTAACAGAATGAGTGGTACGTGCAATGGCTGCGGGTATTTTCATCTACTGTGTTGTACAATAATCTCCTTTTTTTTTTCCCCTAAGTGTATCATCAAGATCACTCGCAATTCCATGCAGATTAAGTGTTTGCTTGAAGGATCTCTTTCTAAGAGTAATATCGTTTGATAAATGTGAAACTGAAACAAGTATTCACTTGTTGCTGTTACTGAATTGTGTATATATAGAGGTCATGCCTGGTATTCTGACTGTAGTGCTGATCACAGACCTTAGGGCAGAGCGTGCTGAGGAAGTGAAATATACCAGATCTAAGAAATCAAGTCCTGATTCTGAAGGTAAGGCCTTGCATTTTTGACTGATTACATATGGTACTCTTTGGATGAAATGTATGCTTAGGAAAGTCGGGTATAGCTGCGAACTAATACAAAAATATATGCCTGCATTAAACATACATATATCTGTGAGTACTTTCATAAATGTGTATGTAAAAACATAAATACATAAAATTTGAATCCTCAAGGATTGTCATATAAGGTTCATGAACTATGACAGCCATGTTTACAGTAATTGCTACATTAAATTTCTGATTTTGTATGTATGTGCCTTCATGCTTATGAAGTTCCATGGCAGTAATTTGTGTTAATAATTTATCTATTAATTAGCAATGCTAATGTAATAATGCTTTAAAATTAAAGAAATCCCATGGTCCTTTTGAAATCTGATATCCAGGATATAGAATGAAAAACCTATTGCAAAGAAAAGAGAGGAAAGACATTGAAACAACTGCAATAAAAATGTCATTGAATGTGTTAAGAGAATGTGTTTCCTTTCTGCCAAAACCATCTCTTTATGACAGAAAAGACATTAGACTACTAGGACACAAAAGGAATGCTTAATGAATGACAAAGTACAAGCTTGATTATCAGAACACACAAGAGTAGATAATATTCCCTCAAAAAGACACCCTTGGTGGTTTTATTGGGGTGAGATGTGAGAAATTTCTAGCTGGACATAGTCAACATGAGACCAAACATCTCCATAAGGAGATGTTGCAAGAAGTTTAGGAGTTTTTCACAGTTTATTGCCAATATACTGTTTATTTATTTCCTCAACTACTGGTACAATTGTCTGCAAACTTCATTAGATCCAGTGAGGAGACAGATTTGGCCCTTAGAATAGTCCTCTGTTTGATCTTTTCTTTCTATAGTAATGCAAAAATGTAGTGATTACTGTGGGTATCCTTTATATCACAGATGAAAAATTATTCTTTTTTCTCCTAATGAATCAAAAGAATTTACAGTAACACCTTATTTCAGTATTGACAATACTGTTTAATTTACCCAATCTTTCACATATGTTTTAGATCACAATGTGAGTGTAGCATAAGAAAATCCAAGACTTTATAAATCCCTAAACTCGATGACATTAATAATTTTATGCAGTGATGCCATTATTATTTTATAAAGTTTTGACATGAGAGAGTATATCAGTTCCAGTGTTACATGGAAACCATTAAACTTGTATGAACTTATATATAAATCCATTATTTAGTCAGAAAGTAATATAGTAGAGGAAAATAGTGAAACTAAATTAATCCAACATCTATCTAAAAGATATCTAGAAAGTGCATACCATTAGAAAGGCAGAAAATAATTGCCACTTTATCACACATACAGTAAACATACTGGTATTTTTTTCAAGAGTAAACATATATATACCCCCACATGCAGCAGATAAGAAACATGGTTCCTATCATTTCTTGTAGCTTTCCCCACATCAAACTCATGTGCAAGCCCCTGTAATAGTTTCATGCCTAAAACAGCACATTTTTCAGTGCAATCCACACAAAACTCCTTTCTTCCTTTAAAATATAAACTGATATGGCAAGAGTAGGGGAAAGATAGTACTGTGGTCTAAGAACCATTTTGGCATGTAATAAAACAGAGCACATGTTTGTCACAAACTGGGTGGAATGACTGGAAGATTATTATGTAATGCAAAGCAGAGCCACAGTCCTGAGTGTTCTCAATTCACTGCTATCTATGAAATTCAGTTCAGACAGAGTTTTGACAGAAAGCTTTGTTTGAGCCATGCTCAGTATGACACACTGTGAAAGTTTCAGAATGCAAGATAATAAACAGCTGCAGAACAAAAAGAAAAGTAACTTAGAAAATGCATGGGTAATGCAAAAGGTGGTTGTGTCCTGTGGGTGTTAGTGGCACACAGTGATTCATATGTGTGGTTGTCTAACCCAAAATACTAAAAAAGCATAAAGCCAAGAGTTTTATATAATATCCTTTAAGAAACACTGCTTTGAATTGTATTAATAACTTTGATACTAAAAACTCCAGTAAATAATTTTAGTGTGATGACAATTTATCATGTGCTGCTAATGCTTACATTTGCTTTGCAGCTGATTTTGCCTTATTCTTGAGACACATAGAGATAGATTCATGAAGACAAATATACTTGTAGGAGGAAACACTGGTGTTTTGACACTTGAAAAAATTATATTTTTGGATTTGATATAGTGCTAAAACTCACCTCAAAATTAAAACTCAGTCTAAGAAATATTTAAAAATTTAGACAGAATGCTAAAAAATACATAAAAGCTAATACTGCTATCTGGACAAAAATGATGCAGGAAAACAGAAAAGAGATAATGAAAGCAGAAAGGCAATAAAGCTCATAATGTTTGAGCTGTAGCAGTAGAATTTGTGAACTCAAAGAATTTTTTTAAGCTAAATATAGAAGAATATTAACTATAATCAAACAGAGTCATCTTGTGCCCAGAAACACAGAATATTAATTGGATTGCTAATTTCCTTAGAAGCCAGGGATTCAGTAGAAAGTTTTGATGATTAGTAAGCTTCAATCTGTTAAAAGAGATGCTGGAAAAGAATTTAGATAGTCAGTACATCTTACTGTACACAGAAATTTTTGCATCTTCATATAGCAGCAAAAAATCAATAAACAAGACTTTTTCCCCTCTTTTGCCCAGAGATTTTTGAATGCTTTTATATTTTAGTCCTGGATAGAGACATCTGAAATTATTAGGACATAAAGCAGACATATTCTTACTGTAATGAAATTAACCACCCAAAATATCCTTTCCTTTTTTGAAGCCAGACCATTCCTTTTTACAAACACTCCCTTTTTAATCCACTGGCAAGCTTCTGCAAATGCTCACCATCAGGCAAGGTGCTTTCTATCTTTAATATCCATGCTGAATTTTCCATATTGTCTGTAAAGCCATAGGCACAAACTGATTTAACAAAATGCCTTTACATAATACTCAGGTTAGTATCTCCTCTTGATTGCTAGCATAATACTTAAGCCTAATTTGAGCAAATAAATTTAATTTGTCTTTTTTTTCTAATTTCTATTAGCATTAACAGTTATTCCAAAATTAGTAAAGAAAGTTTAGCTCCCTAAGAAGTACCGTCTTTTCAGATCAAAGCAAGCAGCTTTTTTCATTTTGTGTGTCAGATCTGGGGAAAAACGAGAAAGAAAATAGAGAACTTTTATTTGGAGGTATTCGTGAAGTTATGACACTCTCATTTTTTGTGTTTTGAATTTTAAAACTTTTTTCCAAAACAAATTGTCATGACTAACTTTGAGAAATATTCTTTGTGGTCTTTGTATAAACCGAACAATGAAATACTGTACTAAAGTACATAGCCACAGAAATATGTTGTCAGTGTGTATTATTTAACAAATCCTACACTTCAGTTTATGATGGAATTAGGGATTGGATAGGACAAAAATGAATGAATTTGAAATGCCATATCAAAAATTCACTCATTAACTTTTAGCAGTTACCACTGCTAAATAGTCAGAAAGCTATTTCTCTACATTCATTTTAAAAAAGAGTAGATTTGATGTTGACTTGTATTTAAACGCATTATTTGTACAACTGCAGCTTCACTAAAACTACGCATCATAGTCTAATAGAATAAAATGTTCATAATATTTTGCTTTACATGCCATCAAAAAGAGATGAAATGGGAAAATAAATCATGAGACAAATATTGTCAATAAATTTCACACTTTGTCTTTCAGAACTTCTTACATTGCTATGATTAAATAGTTTTAATTGGATTACATGAACTGAAAATGCAATTCTTCAAATACTGAACATTTCTGAACTGTGAGTACTAAATGCATTGATAAATTTAATTCCATACAGTGACAACTTACTAGTCTTCTTTTGACTTAATATGAACTTACATGACTTTTCTAGTTAGTTAAACCTGCTCTCATCTTACAGTTGTTCTTCCTCTTCATTGCAAATTACAGCACTTGAATCTCATATAATTTCTCCTCAGCGGACAGATATTCTGCAGTTTTTCTTAGAACAATCCTGAGTAGAAACAGATTTTTCTTTGCTTTTTGCAGAAATATGACATTATTCTTTTCCACCATTAAGTGTCCTTTGCAATGCAGGATACTTTGCAAATGGATATTTGCAAATTTGCAAACCCAAATAGGTTTGGGTTTCTAAGAACTTAGGATGCTGGAAGATATTAAACAAGTACCACACAGGTGCTACACAATTATTGCAAGTATATTTTTAATTATTTTTTTTAATTTGATTTCTGACAAGAAATCACCTATGTGGATTTTTCCGATTCAATTTGCTACTGATGAAATATTTAAAAAGGGAACTTAGTCTTACGAAAAACAGACAAGAAACAAAAACAGATGGTAGATTCCATTCTGATACTACAGTTTCATTGGTGTAACAGTTAGTTGTGAAAGAAGAGCAAAACATTATTATAGTGCACAGAGTATCTAGCTGTCAACTTTACCACTTACACTTGCAGTGTACTGCGGTGATTTAAAACAGGACAGAGGGAAAGGAGGTCGACTAAAGAACTGTTAAAAGTGAAAAGTGTCAGTGTTAGAAATGAGATTGAGAGTCCCTGTATGTCCCTGACTACTGCGATTAACTGATTAGAATACAATGTTTTTTAAAATGCATTTGCTGCAGGTTTAACTGCGGCTTCCAGCAATTGATACATTTTACAGTGGCTTTAGGAACATTTCTTCTCAAAAGACACATTGCGGAGGTATGGATGATTATACACTGAAAGAAAAAATAATTGTCTGCTTGTGCACACTCAATGAGGTGGTCAAAGGAGGATTGTGCCATCATTAACCTATAATGAGAAAATATTCAGAGTGCAAACTATGAAACCAAAGTTTCTTACTGACATCTTTCCTAATAAGTTTGCTTACATTCTCTCAGCTTATGTAGTTCAATACATACAATTCTCTTTTATTCTAAATCATATCTTAGGCCATAATAGCTAAATCTTCGTCTATCAAAACT